CATTGGTGGAGGGGAGGAGGGGAATTTGTAATGCGTTCCTACTTGCTTATCACCTCACTTGATTTTGAATCATACCACAGACAGGAATGTAGAGTGCAAGAATTGTGTATATGTATTTTTACAAGTTAATTATAACGCAGTGATCAACTTTGACATTTTTCTAAGTTGAAAAAATTGTGCAAAGGACATAATATAAAAATGATTTACCGTCAGAATTTAAAACGTAGAAGAATGATAGGAAACCACATCTCTAAAATTACTGTAAATTACAATCAAAGTGCTATTAGAGAGACTCAGAACTGTAAATGCAGTTATGAAATGCCCAGAACCTTGAACTTAGTAGTTCGCGCAGGGAATCTACGGGGAAGACCAACAGATTATAATGCTGTGATACCTGGTCCACTCGCCAACATGTGAACTCACGGACACACTTAGTCTACTCACCGAAACCTTTGGCCAACTCGCCGACATCCACGGTCACTTCTCCAAACTATTTTACGGCGTCGACGATAGTACTCACGATGTTGCCGGCGAGTTGACCAGGTGTGTTCACGAGTTGACTTATGGTGTCGGTTTATTTGAGAGATGGCGAAGTGACTATTAACCAATGTTGTAGCAGGAGAAGTGAAAGTCCCGTGAAACCGAATACGGTTGGAGATTTTGTTTTCGGAGAAGAGTTATTCGTGAAATTGAATGTAATTAGGAGACAAATTTTATAAAGCGAGCAAGTTGTATTTTGATTAAAAAATAAAAAAATGTCCAGGACACTTGCTCATTTCCGTATCACCCAAGTACAGTCTAATGGTGGATTCTTAACTATACCCGGCTCACCAGAAGGATAACATATGAGGACCACTTTTTTTATGCAGCTTGTGAAGAACTTAAAAGTAAACGCAGTGAAAGTCGCGCTGAATTAAGAACGGGAGTGCGAGTCGCGACAGGTTAAGAGCGCTAGGTTGCTGTGAAGTTGAAATTATGGCGAGATCTTAAGGCCGTCTGAAGACTTGGGACTTGAGCGCAGTAATCGAGGGTACATGCGCACTCAGCGGTGTAGACTGGGTTCTTAAAACGATGTGCATTTTTTTCTGTTGATAATTACTTGCATACGAATTGAGCAAAGGAAGCAAACACAAAAGTGATTGACGTCATCAATAAGGAGGAATTATACAATCATATATTATTTAAATTTCAGGTTAATTTCCTGAAATATTTCACAACGATTTGGGGTTACATATTAACTATGATTTAATATAATCTCAATCGGAAATCATAGAAAATGAATATTGTGCTCTGTTATTACTCACGATCTTGGAGTTTTTTTGAGGGAAAAATATTTGAAAAAATACAAAAGATCTTCAAAAACTATGAGAGCCTCGTCGTGGATCGACGCGTTGTTTGGCGAGGTGGTTTTTCACGTGTTCAGATGATAAAAACGGAAGAATTAAGTGGTTTTCCAATTTTTTGTTTGAGGGCCTCTAAAAGAGAAAGAGAAAAGTCGGCTGCTTCAAGACATCCTAAAGATAGGAAACACATTCTACTGATATACCGGTAGACTTTTCCTTTCTTCCCCTTCTGTTCATATTCTCGCTTTCTTCACAAGTACCCCAGACTGAACAATATCAACTGTTTCTTTTACCACACCAGTTTTACTTGTGTCTACTAAAATTTTCGAGATTTGCTGTGCATTGCGACGTAGTTCAAAATCGTGTTTCGTTCTGACTCCTCTTCTAGATTAGTTCTTTCCAATCCTCGTTTTCCTGGTTTCTAATTACATTTCCGAACGCTTGCTTTCATTACATCGATATTCAAAGCTGTGTTTGTTTTTGACACCTCTTCTTCATTCGTTCCACTCTTCTCTCCATGCTCTTATTCCACGTGACTACCATGCTGCGGTTGTTCACAACAATTTTCCTTCTCTGACGAGAGGATTTAATTGAGCCAGCTATTAAGTAATGCCGGCCAGGACGGAGCTTGGGGCATTTGCATTTGTGGTCTCGTTTCGGAATCCAAAGAAATTCATTTCCTAATTTCAAACGGACCAATGAACGCTTGTAACGTGTCATGACGTTGACGGTTACTCGGACCCATTCTCCTTGCAATGTTCTGTCCAACCCAAGAACAGCGACTTTCATTGCTGATAAAACAAGTAAACAAACAAGCAAAAATCATAACAGTGCTCAGATAGGACGGTTACAGATTTGTTAAACAGGATTATTTAGGGTGCTGCGATCAGTTGCTGAGACCTTAAAGACAGTATACCCTATCTGGACAAAAATAAAAGGCTAGATGTTTGGCGACTCACGACAATATGCAGAACTTGGACAAACGACTTTCGATGGAGGAGAAGAACGTGTCATGTCTAACATCGACAGTGAAGGTAAACATTGTCATGTCACAAGGGTCCCCTCCCTGCTTCCCTCTGTTTTATACCTTCCTCTCTTACAATCTTCCTTCTCTATTAAAATGGAATAAATCCCCTCAAGTACAAGTCTCTCGTTCAGAACTCTATGTTTCGAAGCCGCCTGTCTTAAATAACCTCTCCTCTTATTCCTTAGACAAAGGCTTTACTATAGACACTGAGAAGAATGATAAAGCTACGCAGAAGGCCAGAGTCATTTGGGATGAGTTATGTTCTAGTACAAAATAAGATTGCGTTTCTGCTAAATCAACATCGTTTAACTATCGCCTGTTTTTACAACCAGAGAAATAAAAACCTTATTGTAAATGGTATCTATCAAAACTGGGCGACGGTTCGGAAGAAGAAAAGTATCATTCATCCTGGCCGCTCCTTTCTAACGATCGAGCCCCACCCCTTCTTCCTTTCCCCCCCCACTCCGTCAGTTCAAGGACACCTTGTGGCTTTTCTCTGAGAAAACTTACCAAAATCTTTTCGACAGAATTTCCTTCCTGAAAGACCGGCTCCCTTGCACTGGAAGCAGGCTGCGATAGATTGGAAAAACATTTTCAAATGATATTTCTATTGACTCGGTTTTGATTCACACTAAAGAGAATTTACTCATGTCATCCTATCTCGATTCAAATTAGTGTTGGCTCGTAATTCGTTAACTTCGTAATTTGTGTTCTCAAACATTCCAGATGGGCTTCTAAATCCGTCAACCGATTAGGCGGTAAGATTCTAAAGAAACTGTGGTGCTCTGTTTGTTGGAGGGTCACAAGATAATTCGTTTTTATCAACAGAGTTGATAATGTAGATTGCCACCGTAAATAGTTTCTAAAAAATGATGTTTCGAGCGTGAGCCCTTTGTCAGAGCAAACATGGTTAATGCGGTTTGTTTGTGGAGAATCTTCAGTTACGAGTTATACACAAAAAAATCGTAAACCTACATGATCCATCGGGCTGAATCGACATCACCGGGTATGGTGGTTCTGGAAACGAACGCATACAAAGAAATGAGAAGTCGAAGATTTGGGTGCGGGGCGGGGGGAGGGGGGGGGGTATCAAATGTTTTTCAGGGGGAACCGAGGGGGGGGGAGGTTGAATAAAGACTGAACCCCCAAGAGAATTTAAACAGTTTATATTCTCTTACTGGTCCCTTATTTTTCACTTTACTTGTCTCTGAGAACGAATCAGCCCACTGATATCGAGGATGACATTTAAATATGAAAATAACAATTAGACTCGACCAGTGGCCTCTGTTTGGGAAATAAGCACGTGTTCATGTAGGACCAGACTCAAAAGAACGGCGAAAATTGAGCCTACTTCCCATGTAAAGTAAAATCTTTGTCTGCAAACCTAAGGGTTCATTATGCTACTCATGGCGGTTTCGTCAGACCCCTCCCCCCACCTTGCCTTATCTTCAGTCAGGTTGCCTTGATTTCAAAAACGGTGTAACCATTTGTGTGACCCGGAGGGGGAGATATTATGTGAGAGTCTCGGAAGTGTCCTGGCGAAGAATCCGTATGTTTAGAGGGGAAATGTTATATTATTGATGAGAATATCACGAGCAGTTTGAGATTAGCACATTCAGAAAACAGTTTCCTCATTTTCCAATGAAAAACAAACGTGGAGAGTTTTAATTCCAAAGAATACTCACTGATACAAGGTGCTATGGCGCTCTTTGTAGTCTTATAACCCTCTGCACATTTGTCACACTCTCTTCCAGTCACTCCTTCCTTGCACGGACACTGACCTGTGCTCTGGTCGCAAACTTTTCCCATCGATCCTCGCGGGTGGCAGGAACATGCTACAAGAACAAATGACTAATATCAGCCTGCACGCCTGGTTGTTTAGGGGGGGGAAGTACCGCTGCTCATTTTCACGCCACATTTATTTTTTTCGAGCGCCCCAAAAACCACCTGCTACGCAGGATAGACATGTCTCTAACAAACTGAACAAACACATTCAAAGAAGTTTTTTTCTTTTATGATCTGACTACGATAAGCTCGTTTCTCTAATGTTGTAAAGTTCATAGGTGGTCTTAAATATTTTGCGAGAACAAAATTTTTCGATCCGTGATGACTGAAATTTCCGGTGGGAAGTAAGTTTTGTGATCAGTTTTCAGCACAAGCAGCAGAACATTCAGCAAAAAAGGAAACAAGATATTTTCAACATTAATTACTTGTTGAGTTGCATTGCAACGCATTCATTATCAGAGGCTTTACAAGTAAGCTCCGATTACTCTGCAGTTGCCTTTCAATGAGCGACTACTTCACTTTATAAGAGATAATGTCTAAGAACAGGGCTTATCATCAGCAACCGGATAGAAAAAATTATAAATACATGAAAATCGTGACAAATACATGAGATATATGTCTTGCATCGTAAAAAAAATTTGTAAAAGGTGAACCGGGTCAGACATATTAAATCAAATAAGTTTTCACGGTCAGCACGAAACCACAATATTAGCCTCTGCCCTTAAAATCATGCCCTAGAGGGACTAATTTCAGTAATTTTCTAAGTTCTAAGACGCCCACTAACACGGACCACCCCCACAGGGTCACTTATCGATTAGTGGCGCTGGAATTTTACCCCTGCACATGATCAAAGGGTTTCACAGACCTGAACCGCTCACGAAGGCGACTTTGGAATCTGAAATAAATAGTTTTTGTGGCCATTTTGTAGTCCACGAAAAAGGAAGATCTTATTTCGATAATCCTGAAATTCTGGAAAGGCAGGATGCATAATAATTCAATTAAACTAATTTGAATACTAATTTAGCTTAATTTTGTCGCAAACTTTGCGTGTGGGTTGCTCCTACCCCAATCTACGAGGAACTTAACAAAATCTTATGCTTTGATTAATGACTGGGGAAGATTATTACTATTTCGGACTTTGAACTTATCACTGAAAGTAACATCTCTTGCTGAACTGATATTATAAAGGTGATGACATGAGAGTAACTTGAAAAAAACGTTTGCCTTTATGACACCTTTCACCTCACGAACGCCACTTTTTATTCTTATGCTTCTTCCCTTTCATCACGATGTCTGCGCTACTTGAGTGAAGCAGGTATTTAATAACAAAGGCCGTCGGACGGCATCAAAGCCCTTGTGTGACTTTTCTACCTTTCTTTTCAGCTCCTCTACAATTGAAATATGTTGTTGTTTAGTGATGAAGTTCAGAAAAAATCTCTCGTGCCATAGAGTGGACAAGACGACCGAACAGCGGCCGCAGCATGACTCAGCATGCGCATAGAGAAATGGAGAAACCATACCCCTGTAAGTTGAAGGGAGTAGAAACAAGGCGACTGGCTATTCTAAGAAAGACCTCACATGTCAAAAGAGACATCGGAGAATTTTAACTATGAATTCATCTCTAAATTAAGACCGTTAATAGGAGAAGAATGCTCAGGAAAACAGATTTGAATATTATCCAAAGAGAAGTAGGAATCAAACTTTACTGGTTACCGCGTCCTGAGACTCGAAAGAGTGGTGCCATCGTGGGAAAATTGTCGTCAAATGTGCTCAAAATTTGACTGAGGGCACCGCCAATTTGAAAACAGAAAATTAAACTGGCCGAAGATAAAACTACAGCGCTTAGTTTCGCACGCAGCAAAGTGGCCAACAGCGCCGGAACTTAGATCAGTTCCCCCCTCCCCCCCTCCCCCCTCTCGTTCTTCAAGAATTAAAACGTAGTTTTTTTTTAGCAGTTTTATGCTCTCTATGAAAACTCCTGGGCTTAGAGTAACTCGGTGAGAGTTAAATGTTACTTTCAAGGACAGAGCACGATGACCCGGCCAAGTGCAGACACGCGCCGGTCGAGCTCTAAGTTCTCGTGATCACCAGGTCACTGGTCTCCCTCTGAAGAGCAAACCGAGTGCCTATTTTTAAGGACAAGTCTTTTGTAAGGACAAGCTTTTCATTGTGTTGTATTTAGGGCTATGGTAATTTATGGCTGTAGAAATACTTTGTATTACAATAAAGTACAGTTCAGAACAATTTAGTTCTCTGTGACAACAGTTACTGCTCATGTTAAAGTTCATGTCAGTTAAAGCTCATGTCTTAATGAGCCAGCTACTCTCAACTTTGGACTGTCCCCAACAGGTTGCCAAAGCTTTGGAGATCAGAAATGGATGGGAATTTTCCTTTTCAAAACCATACAAATCCAATTTATCACTGGCTGACCTTTTGATGCAAAGGTCTTTTCCTAAATGCAGGTAAACATGCCTATCAGGTTCGATGTTTGACTAAAACAGGAAAAGAGGAGCTAAGATTCTTCAGCCCGTTTCACTATGTGGTCAAATCTTGATGCGCGTCGAACTGGCGTGAAAAGGAAGTTTCCTCGCTTTAGCAGCGGATGATTCTGCTTCTCTCGTGCTTCTATTGTGAAATATGTCTTTAAAATAGATATTGAAACTGTTTTAATCCTTTTAGGCTTCGTGTGGGCAAAAACCTAGATAGAAATCAACCTTAGAAACTGAACCAAGTTCATTACACCTTCATGTCATCAAATGAGACAACTCGTGCATGGTCTGTCCACAGTATACCACGTGAGGTTAAAACCGTTGTATTCTCGCACGCAGACTAATCCTGTTGACCTGGCAGGTCGCCGTGAGTATTCTTATCCAATTTATATGTTTGCATAACTTAATCTGCGAATAACCTTCGTGATCTGAGCTGGATAATGCGCGTTAGCCAAGACTAAAAATGGATTCGTTTCTTTTTCACCGTAGATTACTTTTGTCCTCACCCGGGACTGGAGTATGATCTAGCCTGTGACTGTTTGCATAAAGTCACTTTCATCATAGCCTTCAAACAAAACGAGAATATCTCGATGGAAAAGTTAAGAATGAAAAGTGGAATTCTTAGTCATTTCCTGCCATTTTTCACTGTACTAATAGCTTTGTTAAGGGCATTTTGCCTTCGCAGTTGATCTTGTTAATGGTTACAGGTTAGTAATTTGTAAAAGAGGGCGTGAATATCATGAATCTTGTTGTATGGAGGTAAACTACTTTGTTTACCGTTGTGGTAAACATGTTTTTCTAATATTTTTCCTTCAAGCCTGTTTGTTCCTAGTTTAGCGCAAACGTACGTAACTCAAGTTACTCCGAGTCAAATTAACGTGGGATAGACAGCTTTTCATCAAGAAAGAACAACAAAATTAGCTGTAACTTTATACGTTATTAGCTAAACAGGGATTTAAGATCCTCATCTCTTTAGCTTTATTTGTTTTATGTCCTTCCCATCAATTAAAACAAATTAAATGAAATGAGTTTTCCGGCTTGAATGGAATAATTGAAGGAATGACTAAATTTAGTTCTTGACTTAATATTTTGAGACTTTAAATCCCACGTGAAGAAAGAGTTGTAGCGAGTAGATACCTATCCAAGTTTACTTCAACCACCATCACATTAAACTTTTCTGGAATTGACGGCCTTTCACGCAGAGAGGAATAGGAACCTTTCCAAAAACAAGTCTTGTGTTTTTCGATCTACATCATACCTTTAAGACCACGAGAACACAAGCGTGACCATGACGACTTCATGCTCTCTTTCCAAGGCCTTTAATTAGTGCGTCATATATCGTACTGTCTGGTTAGAATCGTAATTTTAAGCTAGAATTTTTTTATAGTCTCTTTGCAAACGACGAATTGCGGTGAATATAGCCTTTGTCTCGATCACAGCAATTCATTAAGCTGTGGTAATGACCTTGATAAGTCAGTTTCACCAGTTATGTCAAATATTTCAAAGTTCTGGCAGATGTCTAGAAGAACCTCCTTTTGAAATGACAAGGATCTTGGAAATCTTGATTGTAGTAAAAAAAGAAACAGTCAAGATTTACACTGCTGCACTTCATAAAAATTTGAACGGACTTCATATGGGAACGCTAGTATCAACACATGATTTTAGGCACGGGCAAACTATTCCTGTGGTTAAAGAAAGAACTCAATGACGGCTAAAAATTTGCAGAAATAATGTAGAGGAAAGCCTAAATATTGCAAACAGCCAGCCAAAGAAAAACGTTTCCCTTTTTGTATGATGCTCTGACTTTGTTTTTCAGCGTCAAAATTTTTCATTGATGAGGGCTCTAAAAAGAATTAGCTTCTCGTAATAAACAAAAAAAAAATGACTGAGATGAACCAAAAATAAAAGAGAATGGCCTAGAATGGAAGAGCTTAAGACGGAATGTAAATGCCTCACTTGAAATATTTAAGCTTAATTGGTAAGAATGCAAACATTGGAAGAGATCTCTTGTTCTTGTCGAGATCTTATCACCGTTTCATCGGCCTGCACTAAGAAACCTCTTGAACTATAAAACCTTCGATGATTTTTTTTTTTTGTTTTCTCGCTTTCATCAGCAATCCGATTTTCAAGATTTGGCTAAGAGGTTTGAGTATGAATTTATCACACCTAAGAAGAGGGAATTAGTGTCAGACATCACAGCTTCTCGAAGGGAAAGAATTTAGTGGCCATTCCAACATGCAAAGCTAGGTGATCGACTGTTAAACGGTCCTCCTTTCGTCGTCCTTTCGACGTAGCTAATCACCACAGCAACAATTTAGCCCTTTACACCCTTAATTTTGGCTTGACAACTCTTAAACGAGTTAGATATAACCCCTTTTCATTCGTTTGTTTTTACATATATATATATTTCGCTTTTCGCTTTTTTTTTTAATCGTAATAAGCAAATCAAGATACAACACTCTGCAGAGCTGAAAAAATTATATCTGAACAGGTTTCAGAGCTGTTTTAAAAGTTCGGGCGTTAGACTTGGTCTTTCCAAAGTGACATTGTCTACTGTCTCTCGTGAAATTCTAAACGGCGGCGATGTCTGAACAGAGCAGAACGAAAAAATATTTCAAAATCCTTCATGGAGCTTAGTGATCTCATGCGTCTACCTCTTCAAAAACAAAATTGTAATCGGCTTTTAAATAATGATAGTTATGAAGAGAAAAGAGCTGTTTACAGATTCAAGAGGTTTCCGAGTGCATATTAATGCTACCATGATCTTAACTAGAATCACAAATCTCTTGGAATTCAATAATCGGTTTTTCGCTTGCAAAAACGAAAAAAAAAGAATACAAAAATATATGTTTTCCGCTGTCCTCTTAACGACGTTCGAGATATGTCGCAATCGGGACACAAGTTTGTTTTAGCTTAATCATCGTTCATTATAAGCTGGTTCGGTTGGTTTTCCACAAGGGCCCCGTGTGGGGGAAGGGAGATAATGCGATATCGATGCAGTGCTCTTCCAACTCAGCCAACAAGCTAACTGGGAGCTTGTCATTATGTTGGTTCGTAATTCGGGCCACATTTCGGATGAATTTTTCCAATTCTTGACTTCGGAACTGTTGCGAAGTCTGAAAAAGGGTTTGGGGGACACCCGCTGGTTTGTGCCTATTCTCACTGTCGCTCTTTCGCTCGTCCTTTCTGATTGAGAACTTGGAACACGTTAATAAGGATGCGTATCTCCTAACTTTCACAGCGTCGATACAAAACGACTTTCAAAATTCACTTACGTCTGCAGACTCTTCTGTCTGTGATATCCTTTGAAGAGTCCTTGTAGTAGCCCTCTTTGCAGTAATGGCAAAACCTTCCAGCCGTATTGTGTCTGCAGTGGATACACACCCCTCCACTGTGGCCACCAGACAACTTGAACAACTCCTTGTTAAACTCACACGCTTTGGCGTGCAAGTTACAATTGCAGGCTAAACGAAAACAAAACAAATAAATAAAAATGTGTGAGAAAATACATCTACATATATGTTAACTCTAAAGATTCGACTTTAAGTTCTCCCATCTAGATGCTATACACTTTCTTGTGAGCTGGTTAAGAGAGTTCAGTGCTCCATCAAGAAGACACCCTTTGGCGATGATGGGTGATGTAACTAGTCAATCTCTCTAGCTTTTCATTTGGAAGTGATCCCTTTTACTTTTAGATTTGTTTAGATTTGTTTTCACTTGAGAGCCGCTTAAGCCTTCGGGTTAACACAAAAGTCACGAGTTTCATAGATCGCTATGATGCTTTATTTCAGTTTAAATTGGGCGTCATATGCATTTACCCCACGAATATAGGAATGGATCGAAATGTCACTGTTTCGGTGATTTATTGCTGTCCCCGTCGTGAATGTTTATTTGTCAATATTATCAGTAAACGACCTTTGCAATAACAAGAAGAATCAAGCAAGTTTATGTTATCACCGAAATTTATGGTCATCTATAGAATGGAGGAGTTTTTCTTTCGTTCTACAACTTCACACCGAATCGCAACATAAACATTGGAGATTAACAGACAAACAGGTTACAGGCATTGCCTCTAGACGAATTTTCTGTCCATGTGTTATGATTTATGGTTTCTACCCTGCATGAAACGACAATCCTGGGTTGTCAATGACAGCAGATCATTAAATAACACTTCATTAATCACTGCACACTTTGGAGACTGCTTCATCCTTGTGGCGGACCGACAAAGTCGCATCACAATCGCGTTGGATCCGTTTGGAAGACAGGCGAAACCGCAAATCAAGTGCGGGTATTGAGCGTGATGAGCGCTTGTCAAAATCAGCGGAAATTGCAGAAGCTTAAAAGTTAATACGTGAACATCTGTAAAGTTCCGTGTCCGTCGCTTTGAAGTATAGTACAATACGACTCAGTTGGTAACTAAAAGGAGGAAATTGCTGGCGATAGTCACATCGTTGTTGTAAATTGAAAATGTAAAATCAGTCATCTTTTCTTTGTGGTTTCTAACAAGCGCTTAAATAGCTCTTAAATGGAACATTGAACATGTCTAATATTCCCTTAATCGATTGGTTTGGTAAACAGAGGGTTTCATAACATGAATTGTCTTTCAAGTAATTTGCCTTACAAAAAAAGATACCCTGCTGTTTATCAAGAAAAACAATGTTCTTTCGTGTTATCAAATCATTAAACAAAAGCGGAAATATCATTGTTATGAGATTACGTGATCTTAGCATTTGGTCCGTTCCGTTGTCCACAACAGCTGCAAATGACAGACTGGTAAAAAGTACATAATACCTTCCTGAAAAACCCTAAATTTTCGAATGACTTTTTAACCCCTTTTAAGATTTTTTCCAGAAGTAAGATTAATCGTCTCATATTCTATTGATTACTCCAGAGACTGAAATCCCAAAATTTAAAATAGGACTCATGCTGCTATATATTTTCAATTTTGGCAATCTCTAAATCTTGATCTCTGGAGACTAGACGAGACGAGAAGCAATGCGTCATACTACCTGTGGTTAAAATATAAACTCCGCTTCACGGTTTCGAACAATGATACTAACTTGATTCAATTAAGCAAAATCACATAATGTATTTCACCGACTTCATTAAAGAAGCCTCCTAAGCTATGATTGTATAAATATTCTCTCCTTTAATTGCTTTTTTGTTTCGGGTTTTTGTAAGCGCGATTTTCATGTCGCAACGAAAGTGCATGCAAACAATATCTTTTTTTTAATAACGTTCACTTTGTAATATCGATTTGAGTTCGCGGAAACGCGATAAATTCTTTTAATTCTATCCGGATTTTGTTAAATTCTTCAAAGATAAATAAAGAACTGTCTCTATGCAGTGAAGGGGGCTTAAAAGAAGAAGATAAGGCTGCAAGGCTAGAATCTACATGAGTATATGAATAAAGTTTTGCCCCTATTCGTTATTTTGTCGCGATTGATGCCAATATCTTTAAATCGGAAATCGCCATAGGGTTGTTTTAAATTCATTACAGTGTATAAGAGGTATTTCAAGATGGTCGGCACTCACTCATTTCGAAACATATTTCAATATTAAAAGTGAATTTACTTGCGATGTCTCTTAATTCTAACGAACCGCGTAGTTGAGATTTCACGAATGGTTAGAACGGAAAAAAAAATGATTAAAAAAAACATTGACTTGATCGATTCAATTTATCGTGCACGTTTGAGTAAAGTTTCAAAATTTAGGCGATAGTTGTCCAAGATTTGAGCTGAGTGAGACGATTATTTTTTTACGTGTCATTGTGTGCGGCAAGAAACGAATCATGACACATCAACGCCCCTTGTTAATGTACAGAGAAAATAGCTGTCTTTAGGAGGTAACACCTCATTTATTGTCCACTAAATCGACATCAGACATTCAGGGACCTCGATTTGTTCCTTTGTGTCTTTGTAGGAATGCCGCAACTTTGGGGCATTAAGAGCTGAAATCTCAAAATGGTAGCTCTCATTAAGTTGGAGTAACAAATGCTGAATCAAAGATAAGAGTCCAATTTGAGAGGCGTTTTCGCAACTCTAGATAGTGTTTTTCGCGTCAATTTGTACACGCTAATTAGACTTAAATGCGACTAAATAAGTATCGACGACAGTCATTATAAGTTAGCCTGATAAGAGGGCAAATTAGCGAACGCAAACATTCTCACAGGAACAATACAAGATCACGTAAACAGTCTCAATCGATGATGGTAGACAAATAATAATCCATTGACCGAAAAATTTAACAGGAAAAAAAAACCAATTTTTGTCGCTCACCTACACATTCGTTTGCAGAGGACTCGGTTGCAGGCCTCCACGGTCGGTCGTTGAAAAATGCTTTACATTGCTCGCAGTTGCTACCAGTCGTGTGGTGCCTGCATTCACAAACTGGCTGTCCGTCACGACCGATGGGGCACCGAGCGGCATGTCCGTTACAGCGGCACCGTCCACCCACCGCAAAGTCTGACACGGCGTAATAATAATAATCCTGTTTCCTTTTGGACGCGCTAGTGCGGTCGAATACAATCCTGATGTTTGTCGCGCTAACCCACTCTTGAAGGACTTGGCTGGATTCAAAATTATTAGCTGAGGGCCGTCCCTCTAGCGTGCTGAACGCTATCCAACTTCCTTGAAGGGGCTTTTTGAGGTGTGCATCCGTGCACAGTGCTTCTTGTTCATTTTCTTGGCTGGCGAAAGATTTCTCAGGCCTTCCATACATCTGACTGCATGAGCTAGAGTAAAACTGATACGGCTGCCATCTCTTGCCGAAATCCACTGATTTGTATATGGCCATAGAGTCCGGCTTTGGGCCACAGAATTGTAGGCTAATATAGGTGATGTCGTATGTTTTACCAAGCGAGAGTGTCAATGACACGTTCTGGCGGGACTGCTTAGGATCCGCTAGCCAGCAAGTCACATTATTTTGGTTGTGCAAATCAGTGAGATATTTGACCGAGTGAGTCTTGCTTGGAAATCTATTATCGCATACATCGCATGTATATCCGCGCAGCTCCCATTTGCAAAATTTTCGCGGAGGCCTGCCACAAGTCTGGCTTGCATTGATCTTCTTCCCATACGCCAAGTTGTGAAATTCTGGTAAACATCTTTGAGGCCTACCGTAGTTGTCGTAACACAAGTTTGTCAAAGGGAATGACGCTGTCACTGTCGAAGAACCTTGATAATAAGAATTGGGAATCACCATAACTGAAATAATAAAAATTTTGAAGGATACAAAATACGTTGATTCCATAGCTGTGCTAATCAGATCATTTGCATGTGCTCAAATTCTTCTCCCTGAACTTGACGTCCTTTGAGTGCAAATTCAATAAACGGAAATGACGGCAATGGAATTGTTGTTGGATGTCTAGTACTCGAAGTTGATGATATTACGACAAACAATCAAAGGAGATTTGTTTTATAGACTTGGTTGTCTAATCTCTACTTTATCCACTTGTGTTGATTCCCCAAGATCGTGTCAGAATCGTACGTTCGCTCCAAACGCGCATATTATCACCAGTTGCTACTCAATCTTGTCTCCGTCAGCTAATCAATCATAGGACCGCTTTGTGACCCAGCGGTGTTATGGAACAGTTTGCGCTGTTAATCAAAGAAAAGATTCACAGTTATGCAGATGATGTCAAAACACACAATTAATCACTTATTGCACTCCATTCATATTATAATTTGGGTTTAAGAGAGCAATGGTAAACTACATTTTTTTTTCTCTCTTTCACCTGAACTCAAGTTTGGATGCTCAATGCAATCGCGGCTTTTTTTTTCTTGTTTTTTTCTAAATAGCAAAATGGCCATGTTTGAGGTGGACATAAACATAAAGACTAGCTAGATAAACACAATAAGCGTTGTACATTAGAATTTGGAATCTTCGAAATTACTTTGCGTTGGCACGCGTAAACAACGATAGAGTTTTTACTGGGCTCAGATAAACTCCCGCTGAAAGTGATTTTTCCACAAGTGAATTCCACAGCCGGTATTTACATAAGGGTTTTTTAAAGTCACAGCACACCTGATGATCGAAGCACAAAGAAGCCAAATGCTTTGTTTCCTAATTTAAACTGAAAGTTAGAAATGATGAACGCAGGGCGGGACTCTCGTGGTTGGGAAATTAACCGCCTGCCTTTCGAGTATAAACCACCATCTTCGCTGTTATTGATCTCTGAAACGTTGTATGAAAATTCTATGACCCCTGATCGGTCGATGATAGCTCTTCTCACACGCTTTTTTTGGAAAGTTCTGCCAAAACAAACCAGTTCTAATAATAATGTTCAAACGCGCGGAGTTTCGACGCCTTTTAACACTCACACGCCACCTTCAGCGCAAGTTCTTTGGGAACGTGTCGATTTGATGAGCAGATAGCCGTCAAAATGCGGCTATTTGTCAAATTAGTATGACAGAATGACAGAAGCGCCCGAAATGTTACTCCTGAGAGCTAGGATCAAACAACCCCCCCACGGGTGGTCGAGAGATATGTCACTCAAAGCGCGTTTTTGCTTTGTACACATGTAACTGAATTCCATATGCACTTTTCATTGCTAGAAACAAAGGTAAGTAATTCCCAATAACAAGTAATTTACAAGCGCTTTTTAATCTTTTATTCAATGTTGGTCTGGGACCGTTGTGAAAGCATAAAGCAATTGTTGAAGAGTCTAATGACTCGTCACACATCTGTATCGAAATTTTTACCCATGTTTTATCTCTTGTCATCTTGCCCTCTTAAATCAGACAGTAAGTCGGCAGACAAGAGGGCTTATTACTGTGCTATATGCGTACAGCTTTTCCTATAAAAAGGTACGAGATACTTTCGTGTCCTGATTATTGCAAGTAATTATGATGTAACAAGATCCAACAGGGATCCGGATAATTCAAGGAAATCAATTTTAGAGGTCGTCGCAATGATCCATGTACAAAATTCTTTCGTACCTTCTTTGTTAAGAGAGAAAATGAAAAAGAAATGCGTAAATCACTTTGCCCGCGTATGCACAAAAAGCTGCGGGTAATTAGTTTATCGACAGAAAATTTGTAATTAAGCCAGATCTTATTCTCCTTTTGTTTTTTCAAAGTGAACAGGAAATGTTTTACACAACAAAACCGCGATCGTAGGAACTGGTTTTGGGTTCACCAACGAGATCTTCAAGCAATGGCGCTTGATTCGCAAACACAACCTAACATATGGAAAAGTTTCCACCGTAATGGAATTAATTTCTTCAAAACAAATATCGTTTTGGTTTTTCGCCTCGAGGAAGTATTATCCACAGTTTCTTTATGATTTCCGTCAATCATCGAAGCAGCGCTTCGGATAGTTTTATGCCATGACGCTAAGAATAGAGGCCTTTTCACTTCGCGGTTCATCTGTCATTACACCAAGGTGTTGATTTAGTAATTGCTCCCCTGTCGTGCATACTAACTGCTTTAGCGATTTTTTCTAAATGCCAGCTTCTCTGCTGAAAGCGTCATGGCTTTTTTTTAAGTATTGACATGCATTTACGGATTTAAATTTTTTGGGAGGTCAAGTTCTGTTCCGCGGGAAGAAGTGGTGTAGTCCGCGGAAGGCGCCGGGCAAACATCAAGGGCTCTTGGCCGACATTTTCTCGCCTCGCTACCTCCAATCCAATGAAATTTCTTGGCTGTGTTTCCTTATCAGTTATACATTTCCTGAAGGAAACAGACAAATATTGGTGTTTCTGTCTCCGTTTAAAAGTTATAGTGTTTTCACTTATCACACACCTCTGATTGAAACTAAAAAACTTCATCGTTCGAAAACGCGTTTCATATGTTGGAGCAACTTTCTGTCAGTCTGTGCTGAGGTTTATGACATGGTCTGTTTCGCACGGTCTCTGACAATAAATTCGATATGCACTAGCCTCTGGTTTTTTTCGTTTCAGAGTTACGCCGGTTGAACATCTTTATCTCCTTGAAGTTTAAGGGCTAGGTTAAAATCAGAAGCTACTGAAACAAACTGTTTTTCCGCTAGCAGCCTGAGAGTTGTTGACCATTCAAATCCCATGAGTGACCGAGACAGAATTTCTCTTTACGATATCAATACAACACCAAGCAGACAAGTAACGAGAGTAAAGGAAAATATGAACCGTCGGATTCTTAGTTGATCGAATACCAAATTCTCAGAACTGAGATCAGAATTGTGTGGTGGACAGTGAAGAAAATTAGCAATGGGGTGTTGGAAGTGGAGGATTAAGCCTCCTTTTCCCTGTTGTTTTAAAAATAACATGTTAAAACAAGAAATGTTGGCTGAGGTTATGCAAAGATAAAAAGGAGCGCTGACGGCTACGATAAAGTGAAATCATCTGTCTCTATTCGACGATCGAGCTAAAGATTTGCAATATTTTTAAATCGAGTAGAATAACAGAATCAGCATGTTCTTTCCGGTGTATTCAAATCGCAGATGTATCGGTCATAAAACCTGCTAAATCATTTCAGTTTAAGCATTGTGTCTAGAAATGATTCCGTTAAACAAAACTGATCCAAGGTTCTTGCCTGACTAGTGTTTTGTAAACATAGCATAACACACTACACCATAAAGCCTAGGAAACATTTTGAACAGTGGTTTCTGAATTTACAACTAGTAAGCAAAGCTTTGGTTAAAATTATCCAGTTAATTTATAAATTCATTGGTCTTACGCTTTTATGGCCTCTGTATACAGGTGAACTACGTAAAACATCATTTTTGAGCTATACTGAGTTGTTTTAACAATGTTTGTTGCTTCATTTCCAGGGCTTAATTCAGTCTGGTTTCCGTCAATTTCATTTTACTTTAAAAGATTTGATTCTCGATCATTATTAACTACTGTGGCATGCAAGTGTATAAGTAAGAGATCACGGTAAACGTGTGCATGTACAGTGTTCACACGTTTAAACAAATACACTTGGAAATATATTGGGTTTCTACGTGATTTCTGCCTGCTATTTTGTGGTTTAGGTATGCAACCTACACTCTAAATTCTGGTAAATTTGTCAAATGCTTAGGGATGTCTGAGAAATTAAAGAGATCAGCGTTTTTTTTTATTGGGGCAGCCGGCCCACATCCGTCCTCACGATTGTAAAACGCAAAAAGCAACTGTTTTTGAAAGAACTTTGACAAGATTTTGAAGGTCTTTGGCGTTGAAGAACTCCAGCGCTGCAACAACTTTATTCTATGTGAAATGTTTGGGTATGTGTTCAACATATGTAGATTGATTCATAAATCAATTTAATCTTGTGATTTGATTAATTTTTTATGAAGAAGGTCTCTCATCTCTTCCGTACATCACAATATAATGTGATGATGACCATGATAACGCCATGACTTAAATCTATTCCTTACATCGTCACTGGCCGGATAATTTTGCACCCTAAATAGTTGTTGTCGAAAAAGAGATACAAAAAAAAAAGGTGGAGGCTAGAGAGTACGGGAATTTCATATTGATCACTTCCGGGTATGAAGGGGTTAATATCAAGCTAATATTGAGCTAGTTAGTGAAATAACGGGTGAAAAAAAAACAAAAACAAAAAAAAAAAAA